AAAATAAAACTTCCATTATAACTTAACCTATATATTCTTACGTATCCAACCATCTAATTTTTACACTCACACTTATCTCATTAAAATATTTTATTCCTTTATTACTTTTAAATAAAAATGCCTCCAAAGAGTAAAATAACTTTATCTAATTCTCAAAAATATGAATTTTGTTTATTTGCAAACTCTAATAATAAAATGACCAGAAAAGAATATGTTGGTTGGATTGAACAAAAATGGGGAATTAAAGTGGTTGAAACAACTATAACAAGAATTCTGCAAAAAAAAGAAGAAATACTTAATACTGAAGTTACTAATCCAGATACCAAAAGACACAAAAATCTAACAGTTCCTGAACTTGAACTTGCTCTTAAGGAATTTATTTTAATTTATCAAAACAGAGTAATCTTAAGCGATGCTATTTTAATTGAAAAAGCCAAGGAAATAGCAAATGGATTGGGGGTACCAGAAGAAACATTGGCTTTCTCTTCTGGATGGCTCCATAGGTTTAAAAAACGTAATGGAATTCAAGTACGAAAGCTTCAAGGAGAGGCATCATCAGCTGATCTAAATGCAATTACTGAAGCCTTACCATTATTAAAAAATATGTGTAGTAATTATCCACCTGAAAGAATATACAACATGGATGAAACAGGTCTTTTTTATAGATTAGAACCAGATAGAACATTAGCCACACAAAGACTTTCTGGACGTAAAAAGAATAAAGAAAGACTTTCAATTGCCTTATGTGCTAATTCAGATGGATCACATAAATTGGATCCATTAATAATCGGAAAATTTAAAAAACCAAGATGCTTTATTAATGTTAACCTTAATAACTTATCAATGACATATTGTAATAATACAAAGGCTTGGATGTTATCTACTGTTTTTCAGGATTGGCTCCAAGGATTCAACAAAGAGGTTGCTTCAAAATATGGTGACCAGCGTGTATTATTGCTTCTTGATAATTGCCCAAGTCACAAAATAGATGGTTTGGTTCTTTCAAATGTTGATGTCCATTTTCTCCCCCCAAATACCACTTCAAAAATCCAACCAATGGATGCTGGTATCATTATGTCTTTTAAAAGACACTATTGCCATTTACACATTAACTGGATTCTAAAACAAGTTGAAGCAGGGAATGATATAAAAAATTTAAAAATGGATGTATTACAAGCAATAAAATTTATTATTGAAAGTTGGAAGGAAGTGTCACCACAAACCATTTATAATTGCTGGCATCATACTAAAATTCTTCCAGACCGAATTAATGTTAATTTGTCCAATTTCTCTGATGATATTAATGACCCAACAACAAACCAACTTTCTCAGGCAGTTGCTGCTCTCAATCTAAATGATGCCATGTCTATTCAAGAATATTTGAATAATCCAGAAGAAAAATCTGTATACGAAGTTCCTGATGATGATAATATTATTGAAGCTCTTGTGGAAATGTATAAACAGCAACCAGAAATAGATACTAATGATTTCAAAGAAGATGATAGTGTTGAGCAAGTATTGATAAGTACTAGTGAAGCTTCAAAAAGCTTGGAAATTGTCTGCACATTTTTATTACAACAAGAAAATTCTAGTCAACAAATAAAAATGGTTAATTCTCTTGATAGATATATTAGTTTAAAAACAATAAAAACAATGAGGCAAAGTACAATGGAATCTTATCTTAATCAATAATTATATAAATTTTATTTTTTGGTGATAATAATGTAACGGTATTGATTAATATACATTAATAAATTTTTAAAAAAATTTTATTCTTTATTGGTATCACGTGCAACCAATGAAATGCTTTGTTTCTCTAAGTGCACACCCCCTCTAAGTGCACGCTATCACTCATTCCCGAGGGGGGTGCACTTAGAGGGGTTGACTGTACGATAAAATACCAATGCGTAGAACAATGCATTAATGTAAATTATTACATAAAATAACATGTAAATCAATGTGTAAAATGTATAGAATTGTATTATTTATTTATTATATAACATGTAATATATATATTTTATTGTTTATATAATGCTTATAAATAAAATAAAATTAAAACAAGAATTGCTCAAGACCAGAATGTTTATTAAATATTGACACAAAAAACAATTATTTGTTTGAGCGAAGGAATAAGAACAGGTAAAAAAATTGATAACGTAAAAATAAATGTTGGTTTGATTCATTTTGTCAACAATCATTTCACCAACAATTGTTTCGTTAACAAATGGTTCGAATTTAATATGTTGCAAGCAACCATGCAACAAACCTTTGAAATAGTCTAATAAATTAAATTGTACTACTCGAAAATGTATTTAAAGGGTTGGTTTTCGACTTGGTTGAAGAATAACTCTCTTCCTAATTCTTCTCTTGACCACATCTCTCGATATAATCAAAATAACATTAATATAATGAATGTCGACAAAATGATTGTAAACGCAACCAATATTTAAGTTATACGATTAAGACAAGACATGAATGATGTATGAAAAAATCCAACAAATTTATTTAATAAAAACAAAATTTACAACCTGGTTTTTTTGCATGTTCTAATAAAATTTCCATTGTTTCTGCATCATCTATTGCTGATTCAACATTACCCAGATCATCATCAACTGTATTTTTGATATTTTCGATAAACTCATTTTCATTTAATCTTTTCGTCATACTTTCTTTTAGTGCGTTGATGTTTTTTTTGATTTCGACTTGAAGATAGTCCAAGATATTTGGATCGGCACCTTTGTAGACAATGATTGTGATAACCATGTCCACACGTGAATATACACAATTATTCAAATTAGTATTAGTATAGTAAGTGTAATCACAATGCATGTAATTGCAAAAAATGTTTGTAGATGGTTTCCTAGAAGTAACAAAGCCTCTTGGAAGGTAACAATCGGTTATTTTGTAAACTAAAGAATGCAATTAACACCATTAGATGAAGTTTTAGTAAACAAAGGGATAAATTTATTATTTATCAAAAAAATATATAAAGTATATAAATATGATTGATTTTGGACTGAGATTGATGTATCAAAAAAAATTAATTTAACAATATTATTTTGAGTCGTTTAAATTGACTACTACTTTGTGATCGATTCAATCATTAACACCAAAGAAACAAAATTATTTATTTCGCAATAAAAGCTATTTGTTTGTTTATTAATTGTTGTTTTTTGATTTTAATATCAATACATGGTTTCTATTCGTAATACAAATTTGCTTTATTCGCTTTTATTCGTTTTTATTCATTTCATTAGAATTATTATTATTCGCTCAAATTATTCATTTTATTTGAATAGCAACCCTAACTACTACTCAAGATTATGTTATTATTTTAGACTGTATGATAAAAATACTAAATATTATTAACTTATCAGTATACCAATACCTTTAAAGAATATTGACCAGATATCAGATTCCGATATCTGACTGATATTTCACTGATACCCCATTACCCAATTTGGCATCATTCGATCAGTAAAAAAAGAACCAATAGATTTTATATAAGCAAAGAAAGATGGGAATCTAAATTAGCACAAAAGAATTTTAAATCATAACAACCTGATAGCTTGATTGTATATTTTAAATATAATTAATCATATATCTTTAATAAAACAAACATGACTTAGCTATTTAATCATTTCCTTGTATGTGAATACCTCCATCCATCAAATATTCATGATAGTCATGATTATTATTCAATACATTTGATATCATCATTGACATAACAAACAATTGCATTACCCAGGTACTAATGATACCAAGGCCATACAAAAATGAAACTTCAATAATGCATGTCTACCCAGATCTCTGGGATTCACAAAATAAATTATTTTTTCTGATTATCAATTATATAGTTCCTTATGAATGATAAATCTGATGTTAATTGCAGGTCAGATTTAATTAAAATTTTCCTATCACAAACATGCAGGTCCGCACAATTAAGTACCATTCAGCACCATGGAGTTTCCCCCATGGGTGAAAGCTCCCTGGACATGTTGGAAGGCTTTGGACAAAACTTTCCCTATCTTTCTTTCAGACCAGACTCGGTTGCTTATCATATGAGCATTAATAACTGATAGCTGGTGCTTGTGTGATGTTTGCTTTGTGTTATCACCCTGTAGAATAAAGTTGGCGTTTGCAACTGATTCAAAATTCTCCAACTCGGAAGGTTGCAACCTGGGTTGCTGTTTTGGATTTTTCCTGAATTCAGAGTTTTGAGTCCTGGGTTGCTGTCTTGTCAGTGGCATGCCTACTCACCAACAACCCTACCCCCATTTAAATATCAAGTTCAGTTGGTCCATAAAGATTTAAGAGAAACAGAGAATTTAGGAAAATAATTATACAAAACAAACACTATTTTACAGCCTTCCTCTTAACATCAGAGTCCAATGCAATTTCAGGGCCATCAACCCTGCTCTGAATTGTGACCTCCTGTGCTCGAAACAAGTTTCAGGTTCTTGTTGCTTTGATGAATCTGGATGTTTATGCACACCTAATATCACAACTCTTCAAAGTGCGACTTGTTCACAGAGCCATCCTTACCCTAGAAATGGGATCGTTCCAGGAAACTTTTCAGCCAGCATTCCAACAGCCTTCACCGGTCTGGGTGCTGTGAGAAAAGATTGGTGAAAGTGTCATTGACAATTGAGGCGGTCTTGATAAACTCCAGGGCCTTGCGCTCCTCCCTGGAAATTTAACAACATCATCGTATCATTGGGAGCATCGTGGTCAGATTAGCCTTGTCTACACGAGGAAGATGATAATGATTGTAATGTGTTTAAGGTAGCATGCGTGCTTCAACGCCTGCCAAATCAAACATCTCATATTTAAACCGTTTCTTTTTCAATGGTGTGCTGCCTTTATTTATATATTAATATTAATTATGATTACGCAAAGCAAAATACCAATCATTCATTTGTTACCATCAAGGATCTTATAATTACCCAGCAAGTCCTGCTCCGCGTTTTGATTTCAATTAGAGTATTTATAACAAAAAAGACTACAAATAAAAAATAGTACCTCTGTCATTAACACGTCTTCAGACCCAAGCCATACCAAACAACATCCATCATTCACATTTTGTCATTGAAAATAGATTGATTTTTTCATTAAATCGCGTCAACAAAAAAAATCTGTACAACACCAAATGCCAATAATAATAATGTTTACATGTCATGTTTGAAATTTTTTTTTTTTTAAAAAATAAAAAATAAAAAAATGCCACGAGATATAAAATCAGAGCAAAGAAGAAATCAAAAATTCGAAAGAGTCAGTGGGTAAGTATTTATCATAAAAAATGGTGGTGGTCGCTACTCGTCGTCACTCTAATTTATCTATAAAATCTGCAAATTAATAAAAAAATTTCTCTTATTTTTATTATTGGATTTTACAAAAAATACTCGATCCTAGTCAATCACCATTGAAACATGATTATGAAAAACTACCGGTCATAGTTGGTTTAATATTGGCCAGAAACGACCGTGAAATTACTATATTTGGACCTAATGGAGAACCATTCACGGTTCCCGAGCCTTACAAAACATGCAAAAGGCCAATTGGAGGACTTTCATTTAAAGATGAAATTCCGGAATTGGCTCAAGAAGATACTAGCATGGAAGGTGACATGGCTGGACCAAGATTAATCATACCATCAACTAGTGGAAGAGATAGCAGAGATAGAACAGCTGGTGTAGTTTTAGGTTGGTATGATAACTGTGTCTTGGTAACACGTTCTGACAATATTGTAGTAATCAAAAAAATATCTGACGGATTGTATAAGAAAGTACTTGAAACAACTAAATATTTAAATCTTGATGAACTTCCTGAGGCACATAAAGTTACTCCTGATGAATATGAGGTTACTCCTGGTGAATATGAAAACTATAAAATAGAACTTGCTAATTACATAGACTACATACGAGAGAAGTATTCTATAGTTCATAATCCAAAACGAAGTGCTTTTAAAGAACATGAACCAATTGGTAGAGCTGTTAATGGACTACAAACATTTTGGTCTTTAAAAGGAATATATCAATTGAATATGAACTGTGAAAAAACCATTAAAAGATTTAGAATTGAATACAAGAAATATTTGGAAGCTTCACGTAAATGGAAATTAGAATTGGCACATAAAGAATATTTTGAAGAATCTCAAAGAAATAAACAAAAATTCAAAGAAATGAGACACATTCTTGATGATTTTAAGACAAGCAAATCAATGGATAAGTCCAAATTGGATAAAAATAGGCAACTCTTTGAGCAATTTGATTGGTCCAAACGTAATGTGGATTTTAAGGCACTACCAATATTATTACATGACAAAAAACACAAAGAAAAAGAAGATCAAAATTTTTTTTGATGATAATGAAAAGTAAATCGTTTTAAACAGGAACAATTTTCATCTCTGAATGTCTTTAAAAAAATTATTATTGCAAAAAAAAAAAACTAAAAATTAATTCAAAAAATTTAACATGTTTATTTTCTTATAATAAAATAATTAGCTTATAATGACAATTTACCAGTATATAATGCATTCATCTGATTCTACATAATTAAAAATACATTATTATTTATTACCTTCACTCCATCAGGAAATTTTTTTAGGGGATAAATATTGAGACACATCATTTATCGATATTTATCTCAATAGAAAAATCGAAAGATAATTTTTGATAATTATCTTATGATATGTAGCATCATCGAAATTAATTACCAAGATAATTAACGATAAAGATAATACAGTAATAAATGAAATTAATCACCAAGATAATTAATGACAAAGATTATATACGAAATTAATCACTGAGAGTTTTATTATTAAAAGATATATTTATTGACAAAATATTCATTCTCGCAATTATTTCTTGGTACCATACAAACTGACATATCTACAAAATCTAGAACAACACATGTTACTATTCATCGTCCCGATGAATTATTTCTTCTCCATCTCCCATTTCTTTTCTTCCTTTTTATTCATCTGCTTTTTCACATTTTAAGATCGTCAAAACAATGAGAAAAAGTTTTTTATCAAGATTTAATCAAAAATTTATTATTAATCAAAAAATAATTAAAATTAAAAATGATTCAAATAATAACAGTTATTATTACCATTATTCAACAGTATATCAATCAAAAAAACAATTGGTAACTGGAGTAATTATAACAATATTAAATCTATAATTATTATTACCAGAGTTTAATATTTTACATCATATCAAGTAGAAAAGCTACGGTGAAGTTAATAAAAAAAGAGAAATTCAAATTAATTTAGAAGGTAAAATAATCATCGGCAGTATCTCTTTTTATTATTTCTAAAAATTAATTGTCTATTTTGTGTGTGTATAAAAAAGATGTCATGCCAACAGATGATGAATTGAAATTGGCTTCTCAACATAAATCAATAAATTTACCAATAACAGTTCAACAAGAAATTATTAAAACAGTATTGAAAACTATTATTATAGCTGATCAAAAATTACGTGAAGAAAAAAGAAATCAAATCTTGAAATGTAAATTTCATTATTAATTATTATTATTAATTAATTGTACTAATGCTGTTAATAATATCGATTTTTTTTAGTGGCAGGAGATAATGTTAAAGATATCACATCTTTGGCTAATCTTATAATATCAAATAATAAATGTAATTTTTATTTACTCTTTTTTTTTAATAAGAAAAGAAAATAATAACAATAATAATAATAATAACAACAACAACAATAGATGGATCGCCTGTATCTTTAGAATTATACAAAATATCAATGGATAAAGGAGATTTAGATGCAGAATATAGTTATGCAAGTTTAATATATAATGGTTACGGAGGATTACCTCAAAATCCTTTTGACGCAATGGAAATTTATAAAAAATTAGCAAAAATGGCACATCCAGCTTCACAGTATGCTTTAGCTACCATATATGCTGATCAGCTTAATGATTATAAAACTGCTATTGAATTATATAATTTGGCTGGCAACAATGGTTTGGCTAAAGCTTGGACTAATCTTGGTATAAAAAGCTTTTTACCTGAAAACATTTTATTTATTCACTTCATTTAAATGCAAATTTTATTTTTAAATAAAAACAAATTAAGGCTTATTGTATCAAAAAGGGTTGGGTGTTGAAAAAGATAAAAATAAAGCAATTGAATATTTTACAAAAGGTGCTGATGCAGGTAATATAATAAATACACCAGCCTCCTTCCTGTCCGCCTATTTATTATTTAACATATTTTCTTATTTATTTATTGATTGATTAACAAGATGAAAGATCATCACATTTTATGCTTGGAGTGTACTATAATTTTCCAGATAATACACATAAAAAAACAAATTATGTAAAAGCATTAAAACATTATGAAATTGCAGCCTCTCTAGGTATTTTAATCAAAATTGATGATAATAATAATAATAATAATAGCAATAATTACACTTATGATTATACTTTATTTTAATTGATGATACAGGATTACCTGAAGCTCAATATAATTTAGGTAAATTATTTTTAGATGGTAAAAGAGGCATCATTAAAAAAAATCAAAATTTTGCAATGGAATATTGGAAAATGTCTGCATTTAATGGACACCAGGCAGCTCAAGTAAGTTTTTTATTTTTATTTAATTTATTTTAAAGATTAACGATTTTTAAAATTTCCTTTGTGAACTAGATGAACCTTGCAATAATCTATCATAAAGGCATAGGAATTAAAAAAAATTTAAGGTTGGCTAAAGATTATTACATTCGTGCAAGTAAAAAAGAAGGCCAGCTTGCACTTGATGCTATTGAAAATTTGAAAAAATTGGAAAATGAATTAGAAAATGAATTGGAAAATGAATCTGTAAAATTGAATAACAATAACAATGACAACAATAAAAGATGTAATATAATGTAAAAATATTTATTTATAAAATTAATCTTAATAATTGATTATTTTATATATATAATATTTGTTACTGTTGTATGTGAGATTTGAAATCTATAATTAAAAGTGGGTGCACAACATTTCTATCTATTTTAACCATTTTCTTGCAATAGCATTTGCCAAATTCATGAATGGTGACTCAACGAGTTTGTGATAAAACCATGATAAAATTATTGTAACCAAATAACTTAACATCACCGAGTCAAACATATCATTATTTTTTTCAATTTGATCCGATTGGTCTACATCTTTGAGTGTTTCAACATTACCAATAAATGTAAGATACTCATTAAAATAATTATTTACCAGGTTGAAAGCTATTGGGTGTAAAAGATAGATACTAAATGAAATTTTACCACAAAAACAAAAATAATTCCATGACAATAATTCTACAAATGATTCATTACGTGACAATAACCCCAGTAGGATTAAAGCTGTATATAATAGTCCTCCTGCGTTTGTTTCCAACCGAAGAACCTTAAGATCATATTCATAGCCCAAAATTTTTGATGATAATCTTGGCATTGTGCATAAAATTATTATAAACATTATGTAACAAGATAAATCAAATACTTTACGGAGTGTTGTGTGAAATGTAGGCAGTTTTTTGTAAAAATAATTACATACTAATGACACTAATAAATGTATTTTGGTTTTTTTTTGAGTTTCATAAAAATCTTCATCTTCAATATCATTGTTCTTGTTATTTTCATCTTCACCATCATTGTTCTTGTTATCTTGATCTTCTTTCTCTTCCTCTTCACTCTTCGGCAATAAATTTAATCTAATAGCTTCTCTATATAATATAGCCCCCAACGATCCACCCAAAAAATAATGAGCTGTGCCTTCTAACCATAAAGGATTTCTATTATCAAGTGTGAATGCAATAACTGTACGTGCAAACAATATTATAGAAAAGGCAATAACTCGACCAATCAATCCTCCTTTTTTTTCATTATAACCATTAATCTTCATAAGTTTTTCTCCTATGCGACCAAATGCTACATATCCTATTACAATTATTGGAATAAATAAATAAAACTATATCATATGAATAATAATCATAATAATAAAAGTTAAAATTTTGATATATATTATAAACAACAATAATTAATTAATTGATTAAAATTAACCTGCATTTCAGGTGGTATTGACCAAAAATTAAATTGAGCTTCTTTTAAAACAAGATGAGGAATAAGGTTATCAGGAGTTATATAATGAAAAAATGATTCACCAAGAAATTGATTATAGGCAATTGAAATTAAAAGAATAGCATAAGGTGGATATACTCTCATAAATCTACGTAGAAAAAATTTGGTCCATATTTTAATTGCTGTCAAATTATCATCTTCATATAATTTTGAGAAAATCCCTTTTCTTTTTGATACTAGTTTTATATTTGAATCTAACTCTCTAGTTGTTTCATTATATTTCTAAGTTTTCATTGATTGAGAAATTGGATAATAAGTAATCCATTGATTGGTTGTTGATTATAATATTTACAATCATTAAAAAATTTTCATCTTATGATTAATATTATTTGTATCAAAAAAAAAAATATCTACCTCATTATCATTATTCACACCGTTATCTAAATGTAATGTAATTGATAAATTTGACGCAGTATTCTCTTCGTCGTCTACATTATCATTATTGTTAACATTTTGATGCTCAATATTACCTGGTTTTTTATCTTTTAAAGTATCTCTTTTTTCAAGGTATGTTTCCCATTCTAAAATCCCACGAAATGTTAATAAAAAGGCTGACAATACAAAAAAACATCGAACGCCGTCGTAACCAATCAAATTGTATGTATTATATGGAAGTGTTTCTTTGAAATGAATTTGTGAATGTGAGTAAACCACTGAAAGTGCAGCTAAACCTCTCAAACCATCAAGAAATTTTGCGTGAAAAACATTTTTTTTTGGTGCCATTATTTATTATTTTATTATTATTATTATTATTATTATTATTATTATTTATTATTAGCATATTTAAACATATAATAAAAGAAAGGAAGGTTGGCGTGTTACGATGCATTACTAATACTAAATGTCGTAACTTTTTTACATTTTGTGTAATATTTTTCCTTTTTTATGTTTCCCCAGGGCGCGCGAAATGTGTGATCAAAAATATCGAGGGAATGCCCGGTTTAGACCAAATAAATTTTCTGGTTTCTATTTCGAATAAGGTAAACGATTTGAATAAAATAATATATTCACATTGTTAATCCAATCCAATTAAAAAAAAAATTTCTTTTCCTTGTATATAATAATAAATAGTGGTAGCAGAAGTAATTGACCATTTTATTTAAGTCATAGTACTGGTAACCATAGCAGTAGTAATATAGGTTATAATATAATTATTGTAATTTTACAATCCCTTAACAATTACAACAGAATTTGTTGCATCAAGTTGTGAATTAATATTTTATGATTTCTAAAACGAATAAAACGAATAATTCGAATAAAAGATTATAATTCGAATGAAGCGAATAAAAGAATAAATAATAATAATAATAATGATAATGATAACAATGATCCGAATAAGAACTGTATTAGAAACAACAAGTAAAAATTTCAATCTAAAAATTTATATACGTGTAATCGGAAATTCTAAAATTTTACCAAAATGCCTGAAATTTTATAATAGTATTTCGTACTCTAATCTAACGACTTACCCAATTTTGAATGTCTTGTTGCGTGTGAAATAATTCGTCGTAAAGAAGACTCGTTGAGAATTGTAACGAACGGGAAATTCAGCTACAGTTACGGTAATTAATCACGAACCTTCTAAACATTTTTGTTTCTCAACTTTAGTAAACTGAATCGTTGGGAAGGATGAGATAAAAATCAAAGGATAAAACTTTGTAATAAGTCTTTTTTTCTTTGCTGCGCTGAATTGAAATGATTTGCAAATTGATTTAAATAAAATTGAAATTTGAACAGAAATATTTTCATTTTCCAAAAAAAAAAGATGAATGGTTATTTTTACATACCAATCCCCGTTATTGCTATTTATCTGTTTATTGTGTTTCGTGCAACCAGAAATTTATCTATTTTTGTTCAAAACGTCAGAGTGGTGTCTGCCGTTGTCTACCGTCAGATCTTCGTTTTGCTCTGACGTTTGGACCGTTTGAAATGACCAGAAACGACATAAAACTGATGGCCTTGTCTTGGGAGCCTTTGCCTTGGATCGTCAAAGATTTGCCACACAACGTGTTAGTATCAATGTTAACTGGTCACGAGACCGGGATTCAAAAAGACTTTTTACGTTGTCAAATTTTTTTAATGAAACAATCCTGATTTTATTGGCTTGAAGATCATTATGCAATTGAAGACAAAATATTTTAATTAGAGTGAGAGAAATTTAGCTTCAAATGGAATCAAATGAATTTAAAGTTGATTAAAGTGTAAATATACAGTAAGGTTGTGGGCAAAACTCCTCCAGAAATCAATCAACAGAGTTTCAACAGGTTACACATTAATTGTTAATTAGAGCTTTGGCAGAGTTTCACATTTGGGGGTTTTGTCAATCGTCATATATAGTTTTGACAAGGTATATACTAATTGTTCATTAAAGTTTCAACAGAGTTTTGACAGGTACTAAGAGGTTTCAGCAAGCAACCTTAATTTTAATTAATAAAAACCCCATTTTTTTAACCTGATCTTTTACAATAATTTGATTTGGATGTCTTGCAGTTCAATCACTTGTTTCTTGATAAAATTTAAAGCTTCAAAATTTTTAATGAAATTTATTTTTAAAAAGAAAAATTTTTATTGAAATAATTAAATAATATATGTAATTACTATATATAACACCCAAAACTAATGTCAGTTTTTAAAAGTCATATGCTAAATACAGTGGTTTAAATGAAAACAATTTAACAAATAAATAATCTTGTATGATCTAACTAAATAAATCTTCAGTTAACAGTTTATTTAACTGGTTAACTGAAGATTTTACAATTAAAAAATTTTTAGGTGGTTGGTTCCAATTTTTATAATCAGTCTGAACTTAAAATAGATAGACAAAATATATCATGTAATAAAATATGTAATACCTGATCACATTGTTAATAATGTAAATTACTTTCTTGTAATGGTAATAAAAAAGATAAAAAAACTAATGTGAAAAATTCCAATAATTTAAATATTTATATCCATTAGGTGAGAAACTGTAAATGTGATAATTTATGTTAACATTAATGTTGATATTGAATTCAAATTAATAATCAAATAGTTGATGATAATTACCATTATTATTACTAATAATTGTAACTTTGTTGGAGTTTACAGGTTGAGGAAGATTTGTAAAATTCAATAATCTACTTGTATAAACAGCATCTGGATGAATAGTTGCTGTAATTGTTGAAGGATTAAAGAGTTTTTTGTTTGCTTCCTCAAATATTTTTTTTATTTCTTCTAATTCATCAAGCTGTTCTTCAGAATAACCAGAATGGTTGGATTTATAAATATCAATTGCATCTTTCCAAAAAGTAATAATTTTTAAAATTTCATCAGCTGTTGGTCTTTTTTCAGGATCAGCATCCATGCATTTGTATGCTAACTTAATATAACATTCTGGAGTATTATCTGAAAAACTAGGCCTTAAGCCACCACAGATCTTG